ATTATAGTGTATATTTAAATTATTTGAAAGTAAACGTTTGATGTTGAAAACTACGTCATGCATTTCTAATGACAAGATGGTGCAATGCATAACTGAATTTTGAAGACAAGAAAAATTAAGTCGACTACATAAAATGAGTAAATCATTGAAGCCAAAGAAAAATTGAAGATGATCTTTGTACATAGTAATCGTTTTAGACAAAGTATAAACTATAAAATAAAATATAAAGTATAAACATCTAATTCACATATAGGTACATATGTATGCAGCCATAGGCTAGTCATTTGACTTTACGGATTCAGCAGATCGGTATCTACTGTACAGATTTCTTTATATAAATATAATATCTAGAGATGTGTAGCTGTTTGATAAATATGAGATGAAGCCACCGGCGTTTTCTATTATTTGAATATTTTCGATGTATCGATTCCTCGATAAAATTGTGCTTTCAAAATCACTTTGTATGTTTGACGTTATTAATTACTTCCGTTACGAAATAATACGACGATATAGGCACGGGAGTATTTAATAATATCATTGGCAAGAAGAGTTCTTGTAAATATTAGACATCATGCTACGTTCATTGATAATTAATTTGTAGGAATTTAATTGTGTTCTCTATACTTCTACATTAGTTCACATTAGTTGACAGTCCTTCTACTTAGGCGCCACCTTATAAGCATCCGTGTAACTAAATTTGTCAAATTTTTTGCTCTATATTATCGATACCATGAATTTTTTTTCGCGCACTGCATTGAACCTTCCTCTTTCGAATGATACCAATAAACATCGAAAAAGATGCTATTTATAAAACATCTAATTTAGACTAACAAGAATACTCTCTTATATAATTAAACAAAAAATTCAATATATATTTTATTAGTCATATAATTTACAAAATACATTAACATTCATAATTGACATTTTGTCTTTAAAGTAATTTACAAAGTGCTTGTTTTTATATTCGAGTTTACACAATTCCGTTAGATGCATAAAGAGTCAGTAATGTTATTTTTAAAGATACAATTATTAATATATCACCCTTACTATTTAGTGAATTATCTGTTCCAGATACAAATTGCGTAAATTGTATACTTCCTAACATTTTTCAAAAATATGATTTGTAACGAATAAAAAATGTGTTGTATTGCCAAAAATATTTTAAAGGATTATCTTGTACATAAATATAGTTCGTATATATATATATATATATGTATATATGTTACATATAAAAATTAATATCGTGTAACATTTGTTGTGAACAAAGCTACCAAGGCAATTTTCATTTGTACACTTGGCAGTACTGTTAAGGCACTTGACAGTACAAGAAATTGTCGTGATTAGATTATTATGTGCATGTTATAATATAATCCAATCTCAAAATTGTTTCAAAGTGAAATGCAATAAAAAGAGATTCTAGTATTATGTTTCCTTATCTTCTGTAACGACCGAGGTAAGTTTTGCAGTTAGGGCAACTATGATGAATATCCATGCATTCATCGATACAGCAAGGAATCAAACAGCATCCCAACCAGCCCCTGTTAAAATGCAAAAATATGAGAATGCTTGTAATATCATTGAATTGCAAATTATATTATATTCATGCATCATACCCCATTAATGCAATAACAACACCAGATATATAAGCAATCACACCAGGTTCTGTTTTAGTTGAAGTATCGATTTCTGCTTGACAACTTGGACATATTGTATGAGTCGATCCTGGTCCAAGTGGAACAACTGTTGTTACTATGGTTGGTCCATTGGTATCTAAAATGGATAATTAGTTATTGTTCTTACATAATTATTTATTCTTCTAATATTCTCAAGTAAAATATTTCTATATAGTGAGCCATAGCTAAAATCATAAACCATACAAAAAAAAATGTTTTAGATAATGTTTCTTAACAATTCGAGCAACCAATGACAATTTGTCGCTCATAATAGCGTTTTATCAAAATAAGGGCAGTCTTTATATATGATTTTAATTCTATAATCAAGAACTATAAATCATATTTTCATACATGGTGTATAATTTTGGCTATGATTATCTACATATAGTAGACAAACATACTTATATAATATATTTATGTCTTTAAATTTGTATTGTATAGTACACAAACATACAGGTTTCTGCAGGTGTAAAAGGACTAGCAGGTGGAACACCGCCCATTACCTCCGAGTAAGCAGGTGGTGCATAAGGTGGTGGTGGTCCATTTTTGTTCATGATGTTCTGGTTTTATTTATATACACGGTATCTATAATTAAACTGCATTACATAACTATACACGAATGAGCAAAAACATTGATTAATTATTACTATTAATTTTTACTCATTCACATTGTCAAAAAGAAAGATAAATATGAACTTGAATAGCATTACAATATGTATAAGATGATTTTGTAAAATATGTAATGATAAAGCAACATTTGCTTTTCAATTAACAAGTTACGCGTAGAACATAAAAACACTCTCACATGATTAACTGCAAGAATAATAAAATAGGTAAAGCAAATGATTTTCTCTATAAGCTTATTAAAAATAATTGAATTATCAGAACATTGTAAAATTAGTTTAGAATATCAATTAAGTATATAGTACGATTACTTATTCGAATTAAAAACAATGATTGTCCTAGATATGCGCGATCTGATTGCGAAACTTGATGTCACGAATGACATCCTTGCCAAATGGAGAAAAAATACGACACATTCGATGATCCTTTATTAATGATTGCGAGAACGCCTAGAATGCAATTAATTATGCCTACCTTAATAATATAAGAATAAATTAACCACTGCCTAATTACTTAGCCTATTCTGAACAATATTTAAATATGTATGAATTCTGTATGTACAACATTTATAGTTTTGAAAGTGTAAACATAAGAAAGATGGTAAAATATCCTTATGCGTGTTCAAGTACAATATACATAGATGGCGTAGTACACTTTTCATGAACATTCCATTGAAGTTACATACATATTGATCATTCGAAACTTCTATGTTCATATATTTCACTTATGTTTCGTCTAATATAATAAAATAAATAATCAATAAATTATTATTTGATTACACTGATGATATTTTCGTGAATATATTTACAATTTGTCCCGTAAACTCTGCTTCATATATATTTTTTCAACTGGCCGACCACTTAATGTATCGCGAACAGTGTCATGCAACGGTATGCATTGTGCGCGATGTGAACAAGGCTTGAGAAATCAATATCGTTTTATAGCGCATATCTATGTATATCTAAATCATAGATCAAAGCGTGGTATTTAGTCTTACCTGGCACAATAAACAATCATTTATCCAGTGTGAAAGAGGAACAGATGTTCAGTGATAGCATATACTGTTAATTTTCGCCATTTTACCGCATTCTACTCCGAACGAAACCTATTCCGAAACGCTGATCGAGCGTGTTAAGAGAAAAACCTTAAAATTGCACGTTTGTTTATCGAACTTTTTTTATAATATATATTTTCCATCATTTCCGTCATGATACAGTTCTTATTTTTTTGAACTATGCGTTAATTATTACTATTTTAAATTTTATCTTTTGTAACAATGACGAAAGAAATCAGGTAAAATAGTAACTTATTTTATTTAATTAATGATAAACGTGCATGACGGTTTTTATTATCATTTAACAGGAATTTATTTCAATAACTCTGTAAAATGGTGCTAAGTCGAAATGATAAAAGAAAAAGAAAAGAAGGAGATCTGGTGGATCTTATGGAACCATTATCAGAATCTCCAAAAAGGTAAGTCCATAATAAAAATTTTAACGAGAAACGTTCATTTTGTAGAATTGACAGATATTATAATATCTGTCAAACTTTTGTTGCACTCCAAAAAACTTACAAAATATTTGATTTAATAAAATAATGATTAAACTACAAATTTTAACTATTTTCTCATATACAATCTTTATTATAGAACCAAAATACATGCACAAAGAAAATTTGCACAAGGTGCAACCACAGTTTTTAATCCTTCACACACTCCAATTAAGGATAAAGAGAAAGCCAAACCACCAATTATAACAGAATTAATAACGCATAAAAGGCCAAACACAGAGGATTTTCTGACATTTTTATGCTTTAGAGGTTTATAAATTTATTATGTTCATAAATATTATTTTTATAAATATTCAATGTTACTAATTTCTATAAAAAATCTTTATTTAGGTACATCGATTTTACCTCCAAGCTTAAATTTCTTCAATGTTGGTAGCAAAAAAGAAAAACCAGATGCCAAAACAATGCGTGTGTCAACAGACAAAGTTACATCTTCATCTAGTACATCCACTGAAAATCAAAAACCAGATCCAAGCCAGAAAACTATTACCAAAATAAAATCAATTATTACAGATAAAAAGAATAATACACTACAAAAAAATATTAATAAATTCAAAACCACAACATCTACTGTCCAAGCACTTAAGAAAAAATATCAAGAACAGCGTCTCGCTAAACAAAGAATAAAAAATAAATTTAAAACATCTTGTGTTATGAGGACAAGATCTTGTACAGAAAGAACACTTTTAAAGACTACAAATAAACTAGCACCCAGAAAATTTCTGCCAAGGATTGAAACCAAAAGGCTTGGTTTACGAAGTAGTGTACTTACAGATAAGGCAAAGAAACCTTCTCCAAAAGCAAAACCTATACCACTAAAACCAAAGAAAAAAGTTCTTGTAAAACAAAAAAGCAGTGATACATCCAATTCAGAATCTACATCTGAAGAAGAGGAAGAACAACCTTCAGAAAAATCAGTACCACAAGTAAAACGTACAGTACAAAAAACTGTTCAGAAGAAGATATGTACAAGAAGCAAATCTGAAATGAGAAGAATCACTCGTTCTCATAGTGGAACAATTTCCCCCAAAAATCTTTGTAGGAGGCCATCTAGAAAAACTAAAGAAGCAGCAGCAGTATACATGGAAATTCTAGGAAGAAAATTAGTAAGTCCAGACTTAGAAAATGATGATAATGTTTCTATGGATAGTTTTCCAGAACTGCCAAATGCACGTAAAATTGCACAAACAGAAAGTGAAATTAAAGCCAAAGTGAAACAACCAATTACAAAATCAATTAATAAAACTAAAGATGGTAAGATTACCTCTATCCAAAGCGCATCTAATAAGAGACCAGATAAAACTAAAACTAGTAAAATTACTTTCAAGAGTAAACGACTGATAAGAGTTCAGAAGTATTGTGAAATAGATACTGACGAGGAATCAGTCAGTTCTAATGAAACCAGTAACACAAGACCAGTTACAAGACGAAGTTTAGGAAAATTAAATAAACCTGTTAGTAGATTTCTTAGATCTTCCTCTAAGAGTGTAGTCACGCGATTGGAAATTCAAAACAATGTAAACATCAAATCGAAATCTCAGGTTCAAAATAATTTAAGGTTCAATAAAGAAAAATTTATAATGAAACGTAAACGAGATCAGAGTTTGAATAAACCATGTTCTGAAAAAGGTAGTGGATCAAAGCAAAAAGGAACAAAAACTATTGCTAATGAAAATACGGATTCTGATGAAGAAACTTTAGGCATGTTACTTAATAAGTTGAAAAGAAAGAAAGAAATTCATGAACAAAATGAAATCGCTGCTGTTAATGAAAATCATGAAAACGGCAATGATATTGAAAATAATAATACTATTGTCAATGAAAATGACAATGACAATGGCAATGATAATGAAAATGATAATGAAAACGAAAATGAGAATGAAAATGACAATGAAAACGAAAATGAGAACGAAAATGACAATGATAATAATAATGACAATGACAATAATAACGATAATGGAAATGATAATGACAATAATGCAGATAAAACTGTAAAGTGTACAGAGGAACATTTGGTAAAGATTGATCTTTCAAAAGCATCAGATGATGAGGAATCTTTCCGGGGGTTTTCAAAGAAAGCAATATCAAAAGTATTGAATTCCTGTCAATCGCACGTTAATGCTAATCTTCTTGCTTCTGAAAAATCCACTGGGAAATTGGAAATAATTGAAACAGAAAAAGTGGAAAACGTGGATACACCCAAGGAAGCAGAAACCAAGGATAATTCTATTAAAGTTAAAACGTCTTTTCCTGTTGTGAGTGTTTTAAGTGACGAATGTATTAAATCTGAAGAAGGTCGAAAAATGAAATTAGAAGTATTCAATGAATTAGAATCGCAAACAACATTGATAACCAATACGGAAAAAGAATATGTTCAGAAAACGGAAATTTCTCCCAGAAACGTCGTAGACATGCCTCTGTCAACGTTGCACGTGAGAAAAGAAAAGGTAAACATGTCAACTGAACAAATTGAAAAATGGCTGAACGAAAGCTCCCTTGCCAAAGAAGAGAGCAAGTTAGAAATGGAGAACGTCTCCATGTTTAAATATGAAATGTGTGAGAAAAAGAGCGACGTCTCACATTTATCCATTTCAACAAAAATTCAGCATTTAGTTAGGCCAGTAAATGTCACACTTTCTAAATTAGCAGAAAAAGCAAGTGTGAGAGATCGTTTAGGTGCACAGAATAAATACGTACCTGTTACGATAGTGGATTCACAAACTGTTGATACAAAACAACAAAATGAATCTACCAGTATCAACAAAAATAATATAGATCTAAAAGAAATTATCAAAGGAAAAAATACAAAGCCAAATAAAGACTCCAGTCCTGGGGAAGACAATGATACAGCATTAAAATCTGATCACAGTTCTGCAGATGGATCTTCTGAAAAGAAGTTACCACTCGAAAAGAAATCCATATTTCAACCAAGAAAACCATTTTTACCAAAAGTGAAGGAACGTAAAACAGTAACTCCCAATGCAAATGCATTTTCTCCAGAAAATGAAAGTAGTGTTTACGCGTTTGAAAGTGATACTGAAGTTCCTGTTAATACCCCTTTTAGACGTAAAATTCGTGAATTTAATAAGTCATCCAATGCATCGCTGGAGAATGACACAAATAAGAATGTAGACAAGGCCAACAAAGATGATTATCAAACACCAGAATCAAAGGAAACTCCTAGCAATGTACTTCCAAAAACAGAGAATAGAATAGTAGAATCGAAAAATACATCAAATTCATTATTAAATATTAACAGATTCGAATTACCTAAGAATTTTGCTACATTAGCTAATATACAAGTCTTACCCTTAGATAAATTAACAACAACTTGGAGCAATGTGAACTGCAGTGCTTCAATAGCTGTTCAAGTAAATCTTGACGACAATGCACAACCGCAAGAACAGGCCGGGGAAAAAGATACAAATCAACAGAAAAGCACCGAAACATCTACCCAAACAGAAAGCAGTAACGAAAATGATGATGAAAACGATGGTCAACTATTTTATATACCTTTGCAAGCAGTTACAAGAAATGGACCAAACTTAGTTCAAGGGCAACAGTTAATTCAAGGTGTAGCTGTTAAACTTGGTACTGAAGGACCAAATGGACCTAATCAGAAAGTTCTTTTGAGAGCAAAGTTAGTTACTAAACCGCCGTCGTCAATTGCACGTTGTCCTCCTATAGGCACAGTGCAACCTACAACTCGTACACCACCAAACTCCACTGTATTGTCAGCAGACAATCCTTTACCATCTACTTCATCCAGTACAACTTCAATTATGCCTGCGCCAAACTCTGAAATCCAACCATCTTCCCCATGTAAAAGTGAAACAACACTTCAGACACCAAATAGACAGAGCAGTAGATCCGCAGCAACGGAAAAATTAACAAAGTCTCCGAAAACTTCTAGAGAAAGAAAAACATCTATTGATTCAAACAAGAATGGGAAGAGGTAAAATTATAATCATACTTAAACAATGTTCTTGCTAATATTTATTCCTCTATTTTTATATTTTAGATGTCAAATGAAATCTAAACAGAAAAGTACTGAAATTTGTTCTCCGACAAACAATGTAACGTTTCCAAGTGCAAAAACTGAAAATAATGAAGCACGTTTAGTTGAAGCGCCAACTTTTCAGCCTAGCGAGAAAGATTTCCAAGATCCTTTAGAATATATAGACAAAATAAGACCAATTGCAGAGAAGTTTGGAATATGTAGAGTTGTACCACCACCTAATTTTAAGGTAAAATTTATTAACATATAATTTTTTTTATCGAATTTACATGAATTCATCAAATTTGTTTTTAATTTATGTTTCAGCCGGAATGTAAAGTATCAGACGATATGCGCTTTACCGCATACAATCAGTATGTACATCGTATGCTTCATAGATGGGGGCCTAATGTGAAGGAAATGATGGCGATTAAGAAATATTTAGCTACACAGAGCATAACTTTAACTCATCCACCTTGGGTAACATTTGTTTTACCATTCATAGCCTTAAAATATTTTTCTTGATATGTTCGGTAATATTATATTGTTTATAGATTGGTGGAATGGAAGTTGATTTACCCCACTTATATCAAACAGTTCAAAGTTTAGGCGGATTAAAAGAAGTCATTGAGAAAAAAAAGTGGCAAAAAGTAGCTGATGGTATGAAAATACCAAAGTCAGCTCAGGATCGTGTAACTAAATTAGATGATATTTATTGTAAATATTTATTACCGTATGATACATTATCTCCAGGTATATATATATAATACACGTACATCTAGAGAACGTATAATTGATTTTTCTAATTACTAATCAATAAACTGATTAATTTAGAGGAACGAGGTAAATTGTTTGGTGAAGTTGAATCGGAGTGGATGAAACGAGAAAGCAGAGCATTGCAAAGACAAAATGCACCCATAAATGATAATGAGGAAGATGAAGAGGACGATAGCTCTGACGAGTTTGAAGAATGCATTGTAAAAGTGCGTGCTTTAAAATAAATTTGATAAGTGAAGTTTAATGTCTTTTATAATGTATGAAATTATGTGACCCTCAGGGTAGAAATATGCCATTAAATGCTTTCTACCGAATTGCGAGAAATACGCAACGTATGTGGTTCGGTGAAAACCAGCGATCTGGAAACGAAACTGAGGGTGCTTCCGCTGATGAGGTTGAAAATGCGTTCTGGAAACATGTAGCAGAGAGAAAGCGACACGTTTGTGTGCACGCTGCGAGCATTGATTCTAGCGGTCGTGGTTTTGGATTCTCAGTTGCCAAAAATAGTCCATTTGCCAGACATCCGTGGAATCTTAAAGTACTTACTAATAATGCTGGTTCAGTACTAAGAGCTTTAGGTCCAATAATGGGTACGCAAATATACTTTACGTTTGTGAGAATTACCAAAATATTTGATTGGTTTTGAAAATTAATAATGTTATTTACAGGCGTGACAGTGCCAACACTTCATGTTGGTATGTTATTTAGTGCTTGTTGTTGGTACCGCGATCCTCATGGTCTTCCATGGATAGAATATTTACATACAGGAGCTAAGAAAATCTGGTATGGTATACCAGACGAACATAACAATAACTTCAGAGAAGCTCTGTCAAAAATGGTTCCACGTTATTGTAAAAATAAAACTATATGGTTACCATCTGATACAGCAATGGTTCCTCCAGAATTGCTGGTTAGTAATGGAGTATCGTTGTGTCAGACAGTACAAGAACCAGGCCAATTTATAATTGTATTCCCCAAAGCTTTTACATCAAGTATATGTACTGGCTATGTAGTATCTGAAAGTGTATACTTTGCACAACTATCTTGGTTAGAGACTGCTGAACAAGTGTTTAAAGTAAGCAAACAGAATTCTTTATTCTTCATTGGGTTATAGATAATTGAACATCATTATTACAAATTAGTTGTACAATGAAATAATGGTTTCGTATAATTATTTTAGGACATACAAGATAGCTGTGAACCATCAATATTTTCATTTGAAAGGTTGCTATTTAACATTATTAATGACTCTAGATCCCATATAGATGTGATGAAACAGGTAAATATTATAAGCTATTATAAATAATTTCATATTGTTGCTATTTTATGATATAACTTCGAGTTATAACAAATTATTTTACAGATTTTACCAAGTGTGATTAAAATTCGGGAGAAGGAAATAACTTGCCGACAACAATTAGAAGCAGTAGGTCTTACAAATACAGAAAGATTACCATTACCGGATAGTGGAAAACGAAAGAAAGGAAAAAAAGTGAAAGAAGATGATGGTGATTTTGAATGCGAAACTTGTAGAGCTAATCTATTTGTTTCACTAGTTAGTAATTCACAAGATGACAGTGTTTATTGCCTACCACATGCATTGCAATTACTTAATAAGAAGAAGCAAGCTTTAAAACACTGTACTTTAATGTACACATACAACGAGGTAAGATTTTGTACATGTATTTTTTCGATAGAGTTGAAGTATAATAATTCTTTAATTTTTGTTCACAGGATGAATTGGATGATTTAATTCACAAATTAGAAGAAAGAATTGAAGCCAAATCTAAAAAGACTAATCAAATTAAACAAGCTAAATAACGAGTTTACGGATCTATTTATTAAATTATATAGGTA